CAATTCATAAAGCAATCAGTCAGCCTGTAATTAGGCTCGGCAGTTCGATTGGCTGTATTGAACATGTCGAAATGGATGTTTGATTTATTGAGAAATAACGATCTGAAGATCGTATTCTATTCTGGAATTCTTGCTTGCGCTTGGAAGCACCATTGAATGTGGCTTTGCAAAATTGAAATAGTAGTTCCGAACGAGTGTAAACCGAACTCAGTGATGAAAGTCAATAGCAGCGTTATTTATTTCACCAATTAATCTCCATTCACAGTTTCGGAATAACTTTTTCGATGAAGAATGTTGTGCTTATAGACTAACAGCTATCAGTCCAACAATTAGACAAATCATTGAATTAATGAGATCACATTTATCTCTGATTTAAGTTCCCACTTCCTGGTTAGATTGTGTCTGACTTAAAGAGGCTGTTGAGCTGTTTTCTTCACAAGGAGCAAGGAAGCAATGTAGTCCTATCCACAGGAAGTTTATCTCTAGAATAACAGAGTTGATTGATGAACATGACAACTTTCCAAAGAGTCATCTGTGCAATGGACTCATTTATTCCCTTGGAGCAGCACAATTTCCTCACCATCAAAACATCCTTGATGAAACAGCTGTCATTTGAACTACACACCAGAATCAAGCCAAAAAAAACTCACTAACAATCTAGCAAACTTTTGTAGTTTGAACTGGGAAGCAATTCATCGAATTCAAAAATTAACCCTAATGAAATGCAAAAATGAATGCGTGCTAATTGCGAATTGAGATCAGCGAATGTGATTTCAATGCAGCTGTCATGTCTAATATGATGTAGGTGGTTAGTCTAAAATGGCATCCGTAATCGTTCGATGCAACGAAATTTTCTGCAAGCACTTTGATCATCGTATTATTTATGATCATATAAACACGACGGATCATCCATCAGAAGCGCTGGTTGTTCAGAAAAGCTATGTGCAGATAGGCTAAGTTTTCGTTACCTCGACTAACGAAAACTCAATGTTGAACGATTTTACACTTTGNTGAACGATTTTACACTTTGCTGCGCATGTAAAATCTTAAGACCTTCATATGGGCTGTGTAAGCTTTCTTTCTGCTTCAGTTGAACGAAGTTTATCACTTCTAGTAGCCATGTGAATGCACAGTAGTGCTGACGAGCCCGCTACTGCTTGAGGCCAGGCAATGCACTGAAACAAACTCAACGGCTCAGTGATAGAGCTAAGAAAATAGTGATTTCTGAAATGACAAAAACTGGTAATAAACGATCCAAAGGAACATAGAAGCCGATATAATTTTAGAAAATATCAAAAATCTTAACTATTGTTTATAGAAATCCAACATCAACACCGTGGAACAATTTCGTTTGGAAACCCTATACGAATTCAACTGCTCAGTATACTGTTCTCGACCTACCTCCAAGGTTATGAATAATCCCTGTTATTCCCATGCTATTTGCCTTCTCTTCGTATATTTTTCGTATTGCTCATTACCACGGAGATTGTTGCAACTTTCATGACATATTACACTGTTTGCTTGAACAATTAATATCCTTGATTGGTGAAATTTAATTCCGAAATATTGAATCAAATATTGAAAAATTCTGATCGAATCGAATATTCGAATAAAATGAACTCAATAAAATGAACATCACGTCGTTTCGGAACTCCATTGTCGTTTCAAAAGTTTTGCTCTCATGCGCATAATTGTGGCTAAGAATTTACTCTCAATAAGCATAGTCTATCGAAAAGCATTCTAGCTGCTGAACGAACTGAATTCCAGGCAAGCGAAGGGTAGCTTACATTGGCCCGTTACGAATTTCTGGAATAAAGAGGCGATTCTTCTCGAAGAGTATACGATAAAAGAGAAGGGCACTCTAGCGAACACTGACGAATTAACAAGTGAAGAGCGATTACAGGTGAGCAACTTAAATTATCCTGCAAACACCTCATTAAAGCATTGTTCCCCCATAATATCCAAACACTATTAAAAACGTCTCAGTTGATGAATATCATTGGTAAAAGCCAATTTGTTCATGGTACTTTGAACATTTTGAGACCACTCAATAACATATCAATTATGCAGTTGTTCACTTTCGTTAAAGAATTCAAAACAATTATAGCTCGATTACTTAAAATTGTTATCTCCTCAATAGTCCAACGGCTTGCTGTTGATGGAGCATGACTTTCGAAATAACATTCTCTGTGAGTATCTAAAAATAGGCGTAAAGCCATCCGAATGAATATTCTGAAAACAACAACACACACACATGACTTGTTTTCATCACGAATGACAAATCTTGCGAGTCAATGAATAATATACGCCTGACATGTTGAATATAGTACCACATTACAGCTAAACTCGACCACTGTTCTCATCTAACTTCATTTAAAATTCTACATGTTTGTCAATAATTCCATCTAATATTACTCCTTGACGTGTGTTTTCCCAAATTCTGAATCGCATCTTCAAGACACCTCTCATATTACTGCTATTATAGTATATCAATCTCAAAGTGTTCCGTGTTTAGTTTTATACTGTTTACGTATAAAGTTTGTTCACGTGCTCTTCATTCGTGAATAAAGTGATCTCTGAGTAATCGCAAAAAGACGCGCATGTTTATGTGAAATATGGTGAATGGTTATTTTTAGTCTTTAGAAATACTTTCATCAACAATTGTAATTCAACTGAGTGATGTGTGTTTATCATCTGAAATGAAATACGGACTGAAAAGCCGCTGTTCATGTTTTTAAATTAACGAATGATACGTTCACACGGTCTGGACGACTTAGTATCAACACTGAATTAATTATGATTGACAATTGACATGGGTATATTTGTACTGAACAGAGAGAGAGAGTTATTTTTGGCTTTTATCGACAACATCTAAGGAAGCATCATAAACACATCAACAATCTGAATTCTCACAATCAGCTGGCTGCATCCACTTACTACAATTTCCAGAAATCTACTCAACACATTTAGCTTCAAACGTTGAACATATGAATTATGACCAGAGAGTAATCCGTTATCATCAA